AAAAACGTTGATTATAAGTACAAAAAATGTAAATTTTCAGTTTTCAAGGATTCTCACGCATTGAAAGATACCAAGCTTTGGCGGTCATTTTCTCCCTTAATTTTCTTCTGAAATCAGGTTGCCCTACTTACTTCAATCACAAATATTTCGACTTCTATCAAAGATAGATGGGTACTTTTTTTTACCGAAAGATAGACAAATGAACAGGCTTTAAGATGACACCAATAACTCCACTTGCCCAAGAACTGACAAGCGCCTGATTCCATCACGCTGCATCACGTATACAACCAACTGTTTTCAAGTCCCTAGTTTTGTTGTTGTTTTTATTTAAACTGTAAAATACCATCATCATCATCATCATCATCATCATCATCATCATCATCATCATCATCATCATCATCATCATCATCATCATCATCATTAAAAAACAACAACAAAAGAAAAGAAAAGGAAAAAAAACTATAAGCCTGCACAATTAGTGATAACAGACATCGCCGACGGCCTGCTAGCGGCCCTTGATAAACTTCTGCCACTTTTGAGAGTGAGACAATAATACGCAGATCAAATACTTTTCATCTTTGCGCCTCGAGAGATGCTGGCAACACAACACGTGCTCTCAAGTCGAACATGTGAGACACTGTGTAATCGGCCCAAAACACTAACACTCATCTAGGTTCATACCGCCCAGGTAGGCACTTATTCCGTCTTATCACGACGGCTCGGAGGTATCCAATCGTCATACGGTACTTATCAAAAGTCCAGTATCTTTTTTCTATTCTTTTTTTAAATTGATTACAGCGATATATATATATAATATATATAATATACATATTTACATAAATATACATACATACGTAATTTAGTAGCTGAACAATGAGTTAAAGCGTCCCTGGAAAAAAATTTGTCTAGACAATTTTGTTATTCAGTTTATTTATTTGTATTTTTGTGGTGTCCGGGCCCAGTGGTTAAGCTATCGGACGGGCAACTGTTAGGTCGTGAGTTCGAATCTTGTCAGATGTCCGACGTGGGGTCCTTGGGAAAGGCACTTTACACGAATTTTACTCACTTAACCCAAGAGGAATGAATACATATGTGAGGCAGCATGGTGGAATCAGGCTGTCGTCAAAATTTATATAATCAAAGTGAAGAAACTTGCATTTTTCCGCAGGTTTGTGAATTTTTATCAATTTTTTGCTTTTTGGCTCAATACCTTTCGTGCCCATTAAATAACTCATTTCGGTGGGGATTTTTCTGAAAAACGTTGATTAAAGGTCCAAAAAATGTAAATTTTCAGTTACCAAGGACTTTTAAGCTAAGGAAATAACTAACCTTTGGTGGCCATTTTCTCACCAATTTTACCTCTAAAAACAGGTGACCCCCACCTCCTTAATTCCCAAATATCTCAACTTGTTTTCAAGATAAATGGATATTTATTTTAACCAAATAAAGACAAGTGAACAAGCTTTAAGATGATACCAATAACTCTACATGCCCAAAAATTGACGAGAGCCTGATTCCACCACGCTGCCTCACATATACTCATCTATAGAGTGAGCGAGAGATCTTGTCAGTTTGTTAGTGTTTGGGCACTTAATCAGCTGAATACACTGTATGTTTCCCAGGAAGCTGAGAATTATTATTGGTGTTCTATAGTCTGGTGGGGTAATAATAATAGAGAGCATAGAAATAGCCTTTTCAGCGGGGATATGTATTACAAATGGCTATTTCTCATTATAAATTGTTTATCTTCATCATCATCGTCATCATCATCATCGTCATCATCATCATCATCATCATCATCATCATCATCATCATCATCATCATCATCATCATCATTATCATCATCATCATCATCATCATCATCATCATTATTATTATTATTATTATTATTATTATTATTAATATTATTATTATTATTATTATATACTCCATCAGTTTTAACATTCTTAATTGTAAGCTCCTTAAGTTTTAAAACACTATGAATAATAATATTTAAAATTTAAAAAAAAAATTATTGTTTTAAAATTTAAAAACAAAAATTATTTTTTTTAACTAATTTTTTTTTAAATTAAAATTATTTTCCAAAAAAAAAAATATATACATATCACAACGCCAACTTGACACCGGTGTCTGTTGTAGTCGCCGATTAGCCGTTTCACGGAGAAAACATGGGTTCGATTCCCAAAAAAGCATCGCGGTCGTTCTGTTTGGATGTTACTTCCCTCTCGGTCCAGGTTGGCCCTAACAGACAGGGTCTGGTGTTCTTTGCTCTTTCTTTTTTATCAAAAATGTTTTTTTCTTTATCTCTCCTTCTTTTTCTATGCTTATTACTATCCAGTAACACCTTTAATCTGCGGTAATTTTATATCATGATTGTGTAGCAAGTGCCATAAAACACCTATTATTTTCTTAAGGGAAGAAACTACTGATACTGTTCACTTTTTCGCCTTCAGATATCAGGTCCGTAGCAAAGACATTATTTATTTCGGTACATAAACATGCTCACATAACCATATACGTATTCACACATATATACATCTCTCTCTCTCTCTCTCTCTCTCTCTCTCTCTCTCTCTCTCTCTCTCTCTCTCTCTCTCTCTCTCACTCACTCTCTCTCTCTGTCTCTCTCTCTCTCTGTCTCTCTCTCTCTCTCTCTCTCTCGCTCTCTAAGTCTTTCTTTCACTCTCCATCTATCTAGATAGCTAACAATAAATAATCATTAATGTATGTGTGTGCGTGTGTGTGTGTGCGTATCTGTGTGCGTATCTGTGTGTGTATGTATGTGCGTGTATGTGTGTGTGTGTTGAGTGTATGCGCGTGCACGCGCGCGCGCGCGCGCGCGTGTGTGTGTGTGTATGAGAGAGAGAGAGAGAGAGAGAGAGAGAGAGAGAGAGA